ACTGTGTAGCCTCTTGGGTATAAATATAGACGTCTCCGTACCGATCCCTCAGATTCTACTAAGCTTGTTCATGAATTGTGAGGCCTAAGTAATATAGAGCTTTGATACCAACTTGTCACGACCCGGATTCCCTACCCTCGAGAGTCGTGATAGCGCCTACTAGTGAAAGCTAGGCAAGCCAATTAGTCCAATTATTTAACCATTTTCATTTTTAATCTCTTAGCAATTCCAAAACAACATAACAAAAGAAGTGGAATTAATAAAAATAAAACAAGTGCGGAAGACAAAATTTGATAATTTAGATTAATACAAACTGCGGAAGTCTAAGTACAACTCTACCTAGAATTTGGTGTCACAATGTCACGGATCATTTATGAATATTATAAATAAAGTCTGAATAGAAATACATGGATCTGTCTCTGAATAAGTAAAAACAGAAGAAAATGATAGAAGGAGACACCAAGGCATGCGGAAGCTTGGAAGACTACCTCGGGTCGCCTGAATGGACTGAAGGTAACAACCTCATTGTGGTCCAAAAGCAGCAGCACCGGGATATGCACACAGTGGCGAGTGTAGTATCAGCACAATCGACCCCATGTGTTGGTAAGTGCCTAGCCTAACCTCGGCGAAGTAGTGACGAGGCTAGGACAAGACTATCAAATAAACCTGTGCAGTTAAATCATATACAGTGGAAAATAAAGGCAGAAATGTACAGTTAAGGATAGGAGGGGGAAGCATGCTACGGGGAACATCAAGTAATAACAGAAGAATAGCAGATAAATATAAGGAACACCAAAGTTCATTTATCAACAAGAATCAAGAATAAAAGACAAGTACACGGCATTACCCTTCATGCTTTTACTCTAGTCCTCACCATAAAATCAATAAAATCGGCATGGCATCACCCTTCGTGCTTTTACCTCACATAATCATGGCACGGAATGATCTTTCGTGCATTATCACTCATATCATGGCACGGAACGGTACATCGTGTGGCACGACATCACCCTTCATGCTTTTACCTCACAATATCTGCATGGCATCACCCTTCGTGTTTTATACTCTTCCTCACCCAAGCACCAATCACAAAGCAATTTAGGTAAGGGAAATCAACAATATTTCAATAAAATCACGGCAAGGGAACAATAGCATAACAACAATATCCCGGCAAAGGAAATAATATCATGAAAAAAAACGTCCAGGCAAGGGAGATAATATCAAAAGCAATAACATCCCGACAAGGGAGACAATAATATAAACCTTTTTTCTTTACCACAATTTCTTCACAACTCATTTCTCAACTTGAGTCAACGCTCTACAATGATCAATTACCAATAATAGTTCCACAAGCCTTGTTCAACAGTAGCAATTATCATATAAAGCATGAACAATACGAAAATATACGTCGTACTCAACAACTAACATGTAGCAAATAAGACACAACCCCTAATCCCTCAAGCTAAGGTTAGACCAAACACTTACCTCGATGCCACGAACACAATTCAAGCTTCAACTGCCGTTTTACCTGTTGATTCCACTACTAATTCGCTCGTATCTAGCCACAAGTTACTTAACTATATCAATAAATGCTAAATGAATCAATTCTAATGCATGAAAATAGGTTTTCTAAAGTTTTTTCCAAAAAGTCAAAAATCGACCCCGGGCCCACATGGTCAAAACCCGAGGTTCGAATGAAAATCCGATTACCTATTCACCCACGAACCCAAATATATAATTTGTTTTAAAATCAGACTTCAAATCGAGGTCCAAATCCTCAAAATTTGAAAAAATAAAACCTAAGGTCTACCCAAAACACCCAATTTCCCCATGAAAACCTTTGATTTTCAGTTGAAATCATGTGAAAAGATATTAAAGATTAAAGAAAACGAATTAGAAATGATTTACAATCGATTTGGAAGAGTAGTTGTCTTTGAAAAATCGCCCAAAGGTGTTTCGGTTTTGAGAAAGTTTGAAAAATGAGAGATTTTTAGCTAAGTCATAATTTACACAGGCACAGATATCACAATTGCGAAGCCCGGTTCGCAAATGCGAACTCGCAATTGCGGCCAAAGCTTCGCAATTGCGAAGGATGGCCTATGTCTGCTTTCTTCGCAAATGCAAACAATGTTCGCAATTGCAGTGATTGTCAAGGTCGCATTTGCAACATAAGCTTCGCAAATGTGAAGTTTCCTTATCCAGCCAGTCTTCGCTAATGCCGATAGGTTTTTCGCAATTGCGAAGCCTGTAGACCTGCAATATACCAGCAGTTTTTCTAAGTCAAATTTCACTCTATGGCCTATCCAAAACTCACCCGAGCCCTCGGGGCTCCAAACCAAACATGCACGCAAGTCCAAAAACATCATACGGAGTTTGTGCGATCAAATCATCAAAATAACATCAATAACTATGAATTTAGCATCAAAATCAAAGAAAAATCTCATGAACAAGAAAGTTCCATTTTTATCAACCGATGGTCCGATTCATGTCATATCAAGTCCGTTTCTAACCAAATTTTACAGGCTCAACTTAAATCCCATATAAGACCTGTACCGGGCTCCCGAATCAAAATACGGACCCGATACCACGGACCCGATACCATCAAATACAAACATATTTAAATTTCTGAAAACTCTTATAATTTCAGTTAAGCAATTTTCTTCAAAAATTCATTTCTCGGGCTTGGGACCTCGGAAGTCAATTCCGGGCATACGTCCAAGTCCCATATTTTCCTACGGACCCTCCAGGACTGTCAACTCATGGATCCGGATACGTTTACCCAAAATGTTGACCAAAGTCAACAAATTTATTTTAAAAGCAAAATTTATCATTTTTCACAGATTTTCACATAATGGCTTTCCGGATACACGTCCGGACTGCGCACACAAATCGAGGTGAAACAAAAAGAGGTTTTTAAGGCCTCCGATCACAGAATCGACTTGTAAAACAACTATAGAGAATATTTCTCTAGCTTATCTTCAATTGTAATCATAGAAAGCCTAAATTATCCCTTTTGGTGGCCATATGCATATACCACTTCTGGTGGTTAACAAATAATTAGTTACAATGAGATATACAAAACATAACCACTTCTGGTGATTATATATTCCTTGCAAACTTTTCCAAAATTTAAGTGGATCTAACAATATTATCCATTTTTATATTCCCCTCTGTGATATTACTCTTCATGAGTAAAATTAAAACCTTAATTCAGAATCATGTAAGTGTAAAACAGAACATATTAGTATACATATTATGGTATTTTAAAATTTACAAGTTGTTCAAGATCACATGCGATAACTAGAGTACAAATGTCCAGATGGTTACCTAACGATCATCTTACATGCATATATGATCTTATGCAAATATAACCTTAGCTGGTCGGAAACATGAGTGAGTATAAAGGAATGATACTATCTGACAGTAGCCAATGTTTTTCTCGCCTTGTCTGTGGCTGTGAGTTGATTCATGCACAAGAAATTAAACTCAAATAAAGTGCTCAGGATATCAGAGTCTCGTGTTGATAACGTGTTATAAAATAAAGATTGTAAAGTAAATAAATCGAAGACAAGTATAGAGAGAGATTAATATTATTCAACTTTAAATTGATATTCATAATGAACTGAAAACTCCTCTATTTATAGAAGAAAGGAAGCAGCTGCAAGGCTTTTCATGAAGCAGCTGCAAGGGTTTTCTTAAGCTGCTTGTAAGTTGTCTGCATGAGCTGTTTGCAACCTGCCTGTTTAATAAGAAGCTGCTGCAAATCATTTCATTGAATTGCTTGCAACCTGCCTGCTTCAGCTGCTTGTAGATAAACTCAATGGAGTACTAAATGGATAATCTTCTTTAGGAAGATTATCTATAGTGGAGTATTAAATGAACATCAAATATAATATTTTCATAACAAAAAAATAATTAAATTATTATTCTTAAATATTAAAAAATAATTAAATGACTATTTCTAAATATTCAAAAAATAACAAAATAACTATTTTGTCTAGTGTAAATTTTGTTTTAAAGGAGGTAAAAAAGCAGACGGAATCTCGCTAAGGGTTTTATGCTTTAATATAAATAATTTTAGTGTACGTGCATCGGACGTGTACACAACATTAATTAATAAATAGTAAAAAAAAAGGAATTTTTGTTAAACAACACTGACATTAAAAGAAATGTCATGTGGTTCGAGCCCTGGGTATGAAAAAATTATTGGTAGGGAACACTTACCCCTGAATGGGGCCCTACGTCGCGAATTCGGATATAGTTGGACTCCAATACGGGTACCGAACACCCGGTGGAAAACCAAAAAATAAACGAAATGCCATGTTTGTATTAAATGATAAAAATTAATGTAGATAAAATTGATTAAAATCACCTAACGGGTCTTCAACATCCAATATATCTTGTATAATTAGTTACTTCAATATTTTATAAAAATTGAATTGATGGATATAGTATTTTAACTAGTAATTTCTCTTTGAAGGTTCGTCACCAAAGGCTGCACAATACAAACAAATTTTTAAAACCTTTTTTTTTTGTGGGATCATGATTGCACCATTGACTTGTTAGTCTAATACTACTAGGGGTGTTTGCCTGTGCCAGGGCCCAACATGAAGAATGTAATGGTATAAATTATGTCCGCCAGACTAACGAAAAATTTTGACCAAGTAATGAAGTTGAATATGACAAATTCAAATGCAGCAATTGAATATAAAATACAATATTAGAGATACAATGGTGTGAAACTATATAGCGTAATGCATTTGACAAATATTACAAAACGAATATTTTGGCAAAATACCCACTCTAACTTAATAAAACTGCAAAAGTCGATGTCATTCCTCATCATTGTCATTCTCCTTGTAGATTTAATTTGTCAACCTCCTGCAGTGGAGTGTTACATGCTATAAGCAACACTTATAAGCAAGCCTTATACCCTAAGATACAATTTGTAATAATTTTGATGTTAAAGAGTGAAATATTACAATCCATTTTTTTGGAAGATATAAATAGTGAACGTCGTAGTAATATTTCCAAGTTTGGTCTTCTTTAATTGCCTATACGACACAAGTAACAAACAATATCTATCTATACAACACAAATAAGGTACAATTATCCCGTATTTTTTTAATACAAATCATGCGAAATATCTTCCCATCTGAAATTTATGTTGTCTAACAACAGTTCCTCTATGAAGGTCACTATATCGAAAGAAGCTTGATGATTTTCACTTTGTGCATTTTTCTCACATGCACAGTAACGATTTTTTCCAAGGGTCCTTACCGAAAATGCAGGGGCATGGAAGCTCGGCTGCATGAATCCGCCACATACAACCTTCTAAGGCACATTTTTGCATAGTGACCCAGGTCACATTTCACTATGTGAAGCTTGAAATATTGTGCAAAGGAAGCATCTTTAATTGTAGTACTGCAGAAGGCCTTGACATCAATAAGTCTTGGCAAGCAAATAAGTTGTCTCCTTGATCCTCCGTAAGAAAACAACTTATTAGAGAGCAGTATTAAGTAGCTAGGATCCCCAATCAGCTTAAGGGAGAGGCCGTGAGCAGGAATTGTTGAAGAGCATCGACCTATTCAAGTAAGAAAACTTCATCAATGTGAGGCGTGAGCCGACATGCAGCCTAGCAGATAGAAATTGTGAGGACAAAATCTGGACAAAAGCTGAATGATGCTCTCGTGAAAAATCTCAAGCATCGATCGAGGAGAGTCAAATGCTTCAGTCGGAGGTGCAAAATCATGATTAAAGAAAATCCTAACTCATTAACAGATGCCTTTTTATCGATGTAGTCAGTAACACATGCAGCAGACTGAGAATCAACTGCATCAAAAATAAAAATGCTCTGGTATCACAGATATTACGGATAAATTCTTGTTTTCACTCATGCAGATATCTCTCTAATGAGCTCATCTGATCCTCTGCATATTTGTACATTATGTGGTCATGGTCCAGGAGGTTTTTACTTTATAGGCACATCCGAGTAATATTGTCACATTTCTCATGCAGGAATGAACAAACATACATAAGTTATATTTATATCAAAGCCCTGAACCTTTCTTTTCAATAGGTAAATAATATTTCATCAGAAACCCAACATTGTCTCAATACGAAATGAATATCATAGCAGTAGAAAAATAGAACTAAAGGATCTTGCTCTAAAAGTTAATATGCTTCCTGGCAAGAAAGTCTCACCCATCACGAAGAATCTGAGGAGTTTTATCATACATAATTTTATGAACTAATAAAATCAGGTTACAGGTAATACAGAGTTTTGAACCTGACTGTCTGATATAGTGAGATATCGCAGATTAACTCCAAATTGTGGGATATGTAGATTGAAAATCATCTCCTTCCATTATAATAGCTTAGACGTCTTATGTGACGGTTCCATTTCCGTTGAACAGATCAAAATCAGAATGCCTGCTTCTGCAATATGTAATTAGAAGAACTTTAACGATTCAGATTAGGTTAAAGATGAAAGTCCTTGTTGGATGAACACTTGGCATCATGGTTTGAGGCACACAAGAGACACAAACTTTAAGTCCCTGCCATCTTAGCTCTCAATAATTGTCGGAGAATAATATACGAAAGCATGAACAATGATCAGATAGATGAACATCATCCCCGGACATAACATTGTATCATACAAAGAATAAAAGAAAGCAACTACTCTTTATTTTTATATTTACTGCTTATGATACCAACCATAACATCTGATTCAAGTTAAAGACTGAAATTCCTTTTTTAGGAGATAAAGCACATAAATAAGGAGTATTCCCCAATACTGTATATTTCTGTAAGAAAGATTATCAACCGAATAAGAATTTGTATACTTCTCAAGAAGAGATATTAATAAAGTGCTTATGATACTCATAATAGTTTCAATACTTTTAAGAAATCTAGTTAAATGACGGAAGTAGCATGAACATCTTGACATGTACTTAGTCGCTGAATTAACAGAACCATCAAAAGATCTCATGTACAAAATTTAATAATGGAAAAATTCTTATTAAAAATATCCTCCTTAAATCAAACTAATAGAAACTACGATAAGCTCTCACTACCATCAGAAAATAGAAGTGCAAAAAGAAATTAACCCCACTCTGATCTTAAGTGTTAGCATGTAATGCACTTTAGAATCAAAAGAAAAACAATAGTTCAAAAGATAAACAATAGTAAATTCTGCATAAGATTAAAGTACATCTTTATGAGGATGACATAGCTTTACTTGACCTCAGTTAGTCAATATAAAAATTATTTCAGCACTATACATGCATATGCATAAGAGGAACCACCAAATACAGATCGCTTGCGGCCTAACATAAACAATCTTTTTAGACGTCTTATGCTACAATCTTAGAGGTCACGAAAGGATTACCTATATCCATCATATGGCTTTCGTTTTTTGTGCTTAACTTTTGAAAAAGCTTTTAACCTTTAGTACTTTAGCATAAACTCCATCACCTATCTGTTATTTTTTGTTCAATCAAAATTATGCTAAATTGCAACATAGTTACTCTTCCTTTCCCGATCCGAAACAGGAATGGAGTAACGAACAACTTTGGCTAATGCTAAGCAAGGAATAAATTTTATCATGCTCGGGTCAAATGGTCGGGAAAAGATGCTAAATTACCTTTAAAAGTACGTCTTCATGAGTAATGTTAGCATATGTTTGTCATGTCCTTAGGATTTTCAACAATAGCTTAAGAAACCTGGAAACAATAACAGACAATAACAACAACAACCTATATTAGACTCAATCTTTCAGTCACAAACATATTATCACATGTTTTCTCTATAACTCCTATATCACACAAGTGAAAGACTACATTATTTTCCTCAAAAGCAGCAACAGGGGAAGGAGGGGTGGTTTAAGAGCACCTCAACCTAAAGGAAAAGATCTGGAATATTGGGGTAATTCAAGCGGCACCGACAACCATTCTAATGTGCTCTTATTTTGCCAAGTTGGTACATAAACATCCTTATTTATGAAAGGACCAACATGTATGAGCTATTAAACATAAAGCTTTAAAGTGAAAATATGAAGAAACTAATTCCTATCAACCTAATACCAACTCAAATAAGCAATGTCAAAGCTTTCTTGTATCTAAACTTTTCATCTCTGTTGTTGAAAAATGGGGACACATTGGGGAATCTATTCTAGACCCGCCTGCCGACCCTAAATCTATCTTACTTTTCCTTGTTCTTTTCCATGAATCAGTGGATATTCTTAAATGTGAGAATAAAAAGAACCATAACAATTGAGGTGAGATATCAGGCAAGATAGAACACCAATAATCAATTTCAAACAGATATTAAGCAATGACATAGTTCTCCTGTATCTAAATCTTATATGGAAGACGAAAAATCATATTACAGAGAAAGCAGAAATTTGATGTCACGACCCAAATTCCACTAAGGGTCGTAATGGCACCGGACACCGCTGTCAGACAAGCCAACCAAAATACTTAATTTAATTATCGTTTTAATAATTTTGAAAACTATGATTTTTCTTCCATTTCACTAGTAAAAGATAATCATTTCAAATCGAATATGAATGTTAAGAAGTTAATACAAGATACCCCATAATCATCCCAGAACCCGGTGTCACAAGTACATGAGCAATTTCTAGGAAATAAAATAAAATACAGTAATTGTCCGGAATACAAGGTGGACAGAAATGAAAAAAAAAACATCGTAAAATACTCTGAAGGGGACTCTGCTAGCTGCGGGTCGTCTCGATAAATGCAGCTCACCTAAGTCTTTGTATCAACCATGCCGCTATGCCACTAAGTCACTAGCCACATATAAACCTGTGCAACAAAAATGCACAGCAAGTGTAGTATGAGTACGAAAGCAACGTGTACCCAATGAGTATCCCGTCCAATCTCGAAGAAGTAGAGACGAGAGGTCGACTTCGACACTTATTAGTGGTCCAATGATAATATAGCAAAAGTGTGAGAAATTGATGGATTTTATAAAGTAAAATTAAACTCATAAAGCGGAAAGCAGGTAACAATTTCTCAAATCATAAAGGATTTCCCAAGATTTACTTTTCATTGTCTTTATCAATTTATCTCTAGCCAGGAAAGGCAATTATCAATATTTAAAATTCTCAGACAAGCAATACAAGCATGTACATATCATGTCGAGGTCGTACGGCCCGATCCAACATAAATGTAAAATGTGCACTGCCGAGGGTTGAACGGCGCGAACCATAGATGCATCTATTACCCCGCTCGCGAATCATACATGTTACGCGGTCAACATAAATAAACAAACACCCTACTCGCCAATTATACATGCGATGCAGGTACACATAAAAATACATGCTGAAATAGCAAATTAAGAATTTATTGGGGGAACGTTTATCCAAATAAAAGCCAATTCTCTTTTAGCAATTTACGAAAATGAAGTTTAATCCTTTTAAAAATTCATTTACCAATTCGATAGGAATTAAGCAATTCAACTGCCAACAAGATTACAGATATTCCAAGTATAGCATGTTTTTGGGTCTTAGACTACCCGAACTTACAATAATAGTAGCTACGCACGGATTCTCGTCACCTCGTGCATACGTAGCCCTCACAAATAGGAGCATATAGCCAATTATATCACCTATGGGGATAATTCCCTCTTACAAGGTTAGAAAAAAGACTCACCTCACTCCAAAGATCCATAACCGGCATTCCACGCTCTTCCGAAGACTCGAATCGATGCGCCATGCTCCAAAATTAGCCAATAAGTATGCAAACCCATTAATTTATGCTTAATTACTCATTATAATTCAATTTATAACAATTCCTAACCCCGATCGAAAAGTTGACAAAATTGCCCTCGGGCCCACGTGCCCGGATTCCGAAATTTTTCGAAGATAAAGTTTACTCATGAACTCACGAACTCAAATATAAGATTTTCGCTTAGTTCCATGCCCAAAATCGTGGTAAAAATCCAAATTATAAATTTCTAGGTCTCCTACCAAAAACCCACAATATCTACCAAATTTTCATGCTCAAATTTGTATATAATCCAAGTACTAACTCAAAACTAGTAGAATCCCCTTACGTCATGCGTGATGGTGAAAATAGCACCTCAAAGTTGCTCCAAAAATAGGCTTCAATGGAAGAAATAGGGTTGAAATGAACCCAACCCCCGATTTAAAAGAACCCACCGCCTCCAGCATTTTCGCACCTGCAGTGCACCAGCCGCACCTGCGGAAATTTCTATTGTAGGTGTGGTCTCAGTCAACTCGCTCAAGTCCGCTGCTTCTGCGGTCTGGCTTCTGCGGAAGATTCGTCGCACCTGCGACCCCAGCCAAGCCCAGCCATTTTCCGCTTCTACGACACAAGGGCCGCTTCTGCGGCTCCGCACCTGCGGCCCAAGTCTCGCAGGTGCGGTTACACCAACAACTTCAGCTCTTCCTCCAAGTTCCAATTCGATCCGCTAACCATCCGGAACCCACCCGAGGCCACCAGGACCCCGTCCAATCACACTAACCAGTCCCAAAACACATTACGGACTTGCTCGAGGCCTCAAATCATATCGAACAATGCTAAAATCATGAATCGACCTCCAATCCAAGCTTAATGAACTTAAGAATTTCAAACTTCTTCATTCGATGCCAAAACATATCCAATCACGTTCGATTGAACTTAAATTTTGCGCACAAGTCACATTTGACATTTCGGACATACTCCAACTTTCGAAATCGGATTCCGACCCCGATATCAAAAAGTCCACTTCCGGTCAAACTTCTCAAAAACCTTCAAATCTCTATCTTTAGCCAAATGACTCCATAATGACCTATGGACCTCCGAATTCACTTCCGATCACGCTCCCAATACGAGAATCACCATACGGAGCTATTTCCAGACTCGAAATCTCAAACGGACATTGATAACCCTGAAATGTACTTCAATCCAAACTTATGAGATTCTTCCAAAAATGCTAACTTCCACAATAGGCATCGAAACATTCTCGGGTCTACCAAAACCTAGTCCGGACATATTCCCAAGTCCAAAATCATCATACGAACCTGCTGGAACCTTCGAATCCCAATTCCGAGGTCGTTTACTCAAAAATCCAACCTTAGTTAATTTTTTCAACTTAAAGCTTCCGAAATGAGAATCCTGAAGTGAAGTTACTCATGGCTTCAAACTGCTGAACGACGCGCTAGATCTCAAAACGACCGATTGGGTCGTTACATTCTCTCCCACTTAAACCTATGTTCGTCCTCGAACGTGCTAAGAACTGCGCTGGAGTTGCCCGAAATCACTGTTTAACACCTCGATCACCTACCCGTGCTACCACAACTCAGCTGAGCACCCTAGCTCGATCAATCTGAAGATACCCTTTTTCACTTAGGCAAATAAGCCTTAGAGCCCAATTCCAACATCCGGAATTGTCTGCAAGGCTTGTTTGAACATACGCTCACCGAATCAATAACTACACGCGACACCAAAACATGATTGCATACCTTAGCTGAATTCACACTTTGCACCACTTTACTCACAGGACCACAATAACATTCTCTGATCAATTTAGTCGAAATTTCATGACTCTAATGCTCTCTTTCACCTCATGACATACATAGGTCTTGCTTTAACTCTTACAATACCACCACGATGGAAGAGATGTGTAGAAATTAATAACTAACTACTGAATCAATAAATCATTGGGTCTATACTCTTGACAAGAACCATCACCTCATTCTGAACCAAATAATGGTCTTAGCTCCTTAATATACTTCATATTAATCAGATTGCACTGATCCTAAATCCAATGATCTCGTCTCACCCAATACGAACTGCGCAGGCAATAAGCCATCCCGGACATGATCAAAAGTCTCATATGATGCCACAATGTGCCAATAGGCTACCAATTCGAACGTGATACAAAGGAAAACGAACTCTGAAAAGGAAATCCAATTCCCCGCTCGCGAATCATACATGCGATGCGGTCAACATAATTAAACAAACACCCTGATCGTGAATCATACATGTGACGTGGGCACACAACTAATATGAGTTTTCCTCATAAAGATAGGAAATGAAACACCTAAAAACAGACATCGGAATCTGTACTCAACATCACACTGTTGTGGCGCGCAACCCGATCCAAACAACATACTCATGGCGGCGTGCCACCCGATCCACCCATAAAATTCACATAAGGAGATACACACCGAGCTAGATTGTTCATTACAACAAAATACCGAATGTCGATCACAAGCACGCTAAGTGCATAACACCATCCCTGGGGAGAAGTATAGCGCTATAAGCTACAAACTCAACAACAATTGAGGTGCAATATACGATCTGAATCTCAAGAGTCATTCTACTCATATAACATCATCTCTACATGGAACCTCAACAGATAAGTAATTCACCAAGCCGTCTCACAACTCACACGACGCGATATATCATTACATGAAATAACTGACGACGAAATAACACCCCGAGTACTCTTCCATAAGGAGCACATTGCTGAAATGAACACACCTGGCCTAATATAGAGCCCATGTTCACATCTAAATCCATCCACAGACCTCAAGCTGATTCTGATCACACTGAACTAGGCTAATAACCTTTCAAAGATACATAATCCCCCCCCCCTTTTCTCATAACACACAAGAACAACCATCTTAACCGGAATAATCCTCCACAGTCCACAACCCATTAAACTGAGTGCCCTCCAGGCATTGATTCTCAATTTAACGACATTACTACAATCTTCATACTTGGTTTAACTCTTCAATCAATTAAGTGACTACATGCCACACTTATGCAACCTTTCCGTGGGGCACGCTCCCACAATCTTCCGTAACAGATAATAGGCTTATGCATCCAAACCACCGGCCGCACTAACACTAAAGAGCGATCAAGAATCCTTAACCAGGATGCAAAGCCTCTTTCACAAAACGCCGATCTCAGGTGATGATGAAGACATTACCATCTTACTTTAAACATCCCAACTCATTTCCTGCTCATCCGAGCTCGTGACATCATTGTCAACACCAAACTGCAACTTTGATCCTCACTTCAAATTCCATACCACTCACTGCACCTAGCAAGACAATATACGATAGAACACGATTTTTATCATAACTCCGGAACCACTAATAGATTAACACTTCATCATATAAAAACATTTCACTTATCTCACTTCAAGAGAACCATAGCAACACACATGTGAATTCTCATAACCGCAGAATATGCAAATTTCTAAGTAGTGGACTAAGCCACCATAGCCCTTCTAGAATTCGCCTACACATAACAAGCCATAATAGTAGAATATTTCCGAATAACATCGATTACAGCGGCCGATAAGCCTCACACGTACCATCACAAATCACTTGCACAACTTGATCACACTGAAAGAACTTATCACTACCACCAATATGCCAATTCAACTATGGCTAACCAATCTATCTCTTCGTAACACTTGAACCCACAAATCGCTACTAACTTTAAACCTCTCCAAAGATCATTTTTCTCGAGCCGTCAGCATTAGAAACACTGATTCAATCCAGAACCACCGCACCCCGCGATATCTAACAGTCGTTTCTCCAATATTATTTCACAATATCTTACCCCAAAGGCGAATTGCAGAAGACCATAACACCGGCGAACTTAACACATTCAATCGCGGATGACGACACTACATCGCATATAAAAATCCCATCACTCTTGAAATCACCAAGTCTTGTTACTCCATTACTCCAAATCCGGACATCCTAGGCCAATTGCTTTTCCTCTGCCGAAAATGAAATATCAGATCTCTGAATCGTGCACTGAGTATGCTTCCTTTCAAATCATTCACTGCCCCAACACATAGGCAAGTATCTTGCTATCAAGTCATTACTGTGCGATAACCAATCGTGAGCATCATAGCAACCTGTGCATAGTCTCTAAGCTCTTAGAAGCACAACTACCGAGTTGAAACGATAGAAAAATCCTTCCGCAAGGCGACAACAATAGCCCAATCAACTATACCGAGAGAAACATCCTGCACCACGTCTGTAGTACCATTACAATTCCTCAATTCTTGATTTATAACAAGTGATTCGCGTCGCATAAGGTTAAGTAGGAAGGAAACAAGGGCATAAGCCCCAAGGAATCATATTGCACGATGAGGAATCAAGAATGGAAGTGCTCCTAACAGCCTTGTAGCCTCTCGAAGATAAGTACAGACGTCTCTGTACTGATCCGCAAGACTCTACTAGACTCGCTCATGACTCATAAGACTTAAGGGAACCTAGTGCTCTGATACCATGTTGTCAAGACCCAAATTCTACTAAGGGTCATGATGGCGCCGGACACCACTATCAGGCAAGCCAACCAAAATACTTAATTTAATTCTCGTTTTAATAATTTTGGAAACTATGATTTTTCTTCAATTTCACTAGTAAAAGAAAATTATTTCAAATCGAATATGAATTTTAAGAAGTTAATACAAGATACCCCACAATCATCCCAGAACCCGGTGACACAAATACATGAGAAATTTCTAGAAAATAAAATAAAATACAATAACTGTCCGGAATACAAGGTGGACAGGAATTAAAAAAAGCACCGTAAAATACTCTGAAGGGGACTCTGCTAGCTACATGTCGTCTCGATAAATGCAGCTCACCTAAGTCTTCGTATCAACCATATCGCTATGCCACTAAGCCACTAACCACATATCAACATGTGCAACAAAAATGCACAACAAGTGTAGTATGAGTATGAAAACAACGTGTATCCAATGAGTATCTCGTCTAATCTCGAAGAAGTAGAGACGAGAGGTCGACTTCGACACTTACTAGTGGTTCAATGATAATATAGCAAAACTGTGAGGAATTCATGGATTTCATAAAGTAAAATTAAACTCATAAAGCCGAAAAGCAGGTAACAACTTCTCAAATCATAAAGGATTTCCCAAGATTTACTTTTCATTTTCTTTATCAATTTATCTCTGGCTAGGAAAAGCAATTATCAACATTTAAAATTCTCAGGCAAGCAATACAAGCATGCGCATATCATGTCGAGGTCGTATGGCCCAATCCAACATAAAAACGTGCATTGCCGAGGGTCGAACGACGCGAACCATAGATGCATCTATTACCCCGCTTGCGAATCATACATGTGACGCGGTCAACATAAATAAACAAACAACGTGCTCGCGAATCATACATGTGACACAGGTATACATAAAAATACATGCTCAAACAGCAAATTAAGAATTTATCGGGGAACGTTTATCCAGATAAAAGCCAATTTTCTTTTAGCAATTTAAGAAAATGAAATTTAATCCTTTTAGAAATTCATTTACCAATTCGATAGGATTTAAGCAATTCAACTGCCAATAAGATTACAGATATTCCAAGTATAGCATGTTTTTGGGTCCTAAACTACCCGGACTTACACATAATAGTAGCTACACACGGACTCTCGTCACCTCGTGCGTACGTAGCCCCTACAAATAGGAGCATATAGCCAATTATATCACCTATGGGGACAATTCCCTCTTTCAATGTTAGAAAGGAGACTCACCTCGCTCTGAAGATCCATAACCGACATTCCACGCTCTTCCGAAGACTCGAATCGATTCACCATGCTCCAAAACTAGCCAATAAGTATGCAAACCCATTAATTTATGCTTAATTACTCATTATAATTCAATTTATAACAATTCCTAACCTCAATCGAAAAGTTGACAAAATTGCCCTCGGGCCCACGTGCCCGGATTCCAAAAATTTTCGAAGATAAAGTTTACCTATGAACTCACAAACTCAAATATATGATTTTCTCTTAGTTCCAGGCCCAAAATAGTGGTAAAAATCCAAATTATAAATTTCTAGGTCTCCTACCAAAAACCCACAATTTCTACCAAATTTTCATACTCAAATCCATATATAATTCAAGTATTAACTCAAAACTAGTAGAATCCACTTACCTCATGCGTGATTGTGAAAATGGCACCTCAAAGTTGCTCCAAAAATCGGCTCCAATGGAAGAAATGGGGTTGAAATGAACCCAACCCCCGATTTAAAAGAACCTACTGCCTCCAGCATTTTCGCATCTGCGGTGCACCAGCTGCACCTGCGGAATTTTTATCGCGGGTGCGGTTTCAGCCAACTCGCTCAAGTCCGCTTCTATAGAGCCAGAGCCGCTTCTGCGGTCTCGTTTCTGTGGAAGATTTGTCGCACCTGCGACCCCAGCCAAGCCCAGCCATTTTCCTCTTTTGCGACACAAGGGCCGCTTCTGCGGCTCCGCACCTGCGGCCCAAGTCTAGCAGGTGCGGTTACACCAGCAACTTCAGCTCTTCCTCCAAGTTCCAATTCGATCCGTTAACCATCCGGAATCCACCCGAGGCCCCAAGGACCCGGTCCAATCACACTAACCAATCCCAAAACACGTTACGGACTTGCTTGAGGCCTCAAATCATATCGAACAACGCTAAAATCATGAATCGACCTCCAATCCAAGCTTAATGAACTTAAGAATTTCAAACTTCTTCATTCGATGCCAAAACATATCCAATCACGTTCGATTGAACTTAAATTTTGCGCACAAGTCACATTTGACATTTCGGACATACTCCAACTTTCGAAATCGGATTCCGACCCCGATATCAAAAAGTCCACTTCCGGTCAAACTTCTCAAAAACCTTCAAATTTCTATCTTTAGCCAAATGACTCCAAAATGACCTACGGACCTCCGAATTCACTTCCGATCATACTTCCAATACGAGAATCACCATACGGAGTTATTCCTAGACTCGGAATCTAAAACAGACATTGATAACCCCGAAATGCACTTCAATCCAAACTTATGAGATTCTTCCAAAAATGCTAACTTCCAAAATAGGCGTCGAAACGTTCCCGAGTCTTCCAAAACCCAGTCCAGACATACGCCCAAGTCCGAAATAACCATACGAACCTGCTGGAACCTTCGAATCCTGATTCCGAGGTCGTTTACTCAAAAATCCAACCTTAGTCAATTCTTTCAACTTAAAGCTTCCGAAATGAGAATTCTCTTTCCAAATCAACCCCGCACTTCCTGGAATTCAATTCCCACCGTGCGCACAAGTCATAATACCCGAAGTGAAGTTGCTCATGGCTCAAACTGATAAACGATGCACTAGAGCTCAAAATGACCAGTCGAGTCGTTACATTTGACATGGTATATCTACCCACACAATCAGGTCGGAAAATTAATTCTTTCGAAACCCATTATTATGTACTCCCCTTTCGAAACCCCTTATCTCCCTTATTCTTGAAAGGATATTTCTGAATTAGCCGACTCATACTGCAGCTACTAAAAATGGCTAAGACCTTACCACTGTATAGGCTAATATCAAATCTTAGTTCAATACAATAAAACATAAGTGGAGTTCTGCAATTCAGTTGAGTCTTTCATCTTATTCGTAGGTTTGGTACTTCAGTTTATGATGCATTTTTGGGGAATTTCTTCAAACAGGTAGTGTACATCGTTCCTTTTGTTCAGATTGATGAGTAGACTGATTCACCATCCTTACTTCATCTAAACATCTTATCAACTTATATGAAGTAAATGCAAATAAGAAGAAAACATATTTTGAGAGGTAAGAAGATAACATATTTTGAGAGGTAAGAAGAAGTAACAGAATCAAACTCCAAAGGGGTAGTAAATGGGCAAATAGATTTTCAACCACACCTAGAAACTTCAGAAAGACGAAGAAAGCTTGGGCGGAAACTCCAAACCATGGGAAGAAGTCCACCATTATTTCTGGTGAAGAGAAATTGATACCAGAGTAAACAAAACTAAAAGTCAGATCGATGAGCATCATACATACAAATCAAGAAAAATAGAAAAAATATGTCCAAAAATTGAAAGAATAGCTAACCAGAAACTTTTTAAACCAAGCCGAGAAGAGCTCTTAGAATTGGAAGATGAAGATCGTTTTGAAAGAAAGAAAAAATGGAGAAGTTTATGCAAATACAATATGTTGTCTTTATGAATAAAAGTCACGTATCTCTTTTTTTAAAATAAAAAGACATGTATAAACTGATAAGCTAAGATAGATGACTGAAATATCAAAATTGTCATCGGAGGAGAGCAAACAACTCATAAAGGTTAGCAAAATGTCAAAACTACTCTCACTTTTGATTTAAATGACATGAAGGAAACATGTCGAAACGTCTTTATGAATAAAAGCCACCTATCTTTTTTTTTAAATAAAAAGACACGTATAAACTGATAAGCTAAGATAGATAACTGAAATATCATAATTGTCATCGGAGGAGAGCAAACAACGCTTAAAGGTTAGTGAAATGTCAAAACTACCCTCACTTTTGATTTAAATGTCATGAAGCAGACATGTCGAAACTCGAGCTTTTCTAATATATAGAAAAGAAATATCATTTAGATTTTGTCCTACTAAAATAAATTAAAAAATTTATGGAAAGGTCTCTACGGACCACCAAAGGATGTGGACGTGGTGCAGTGGATGTGATTGCTTTTTTTTTTTAACCAGAGGTCTCGGGTTCGAGCCCTGAATATGAAAAAATCCTTGGTAGGGAGCGCTTCCCCTGAATGGGGTCCTATGCAGCCCGAATCCGAATATAGTCGGGCTCCAATGCAGACGTCGGACACCGGATATGAAAATATACATACATACAAAATTATATGCTTAAACCATCGAATACGATTTTTCAAAATCATAAGTGCTATTACAAAATTTAAGATTATAAAACTTATATAAGGCTCAAAGGCACTGGAATCTGAAGGATAAATGAAATTCTTGTGCGTTGGGGTTAGAACAATTTTGGATAAAAAAAAACTATAAAACCGTATTAGTTATTATTTTTAATATTTATACCAGATAAAATTTTAATTAATTTAAAGCCCTAAATATTAAAATTTTCTATCTAGTCTAAATAAGAAACGATTAATAAATAAAATTTTAGTTGAATTTAAGGTCTTAAAATTAGCTATCATAAAATATATTTTGGAAGGGTAAAAAAAATAAATGATATTTTGCTAAGGGACGTATTTTTTAATATAGATATTGATATAAATAGATAGATATAGATTAAGGGTTAAAATAGCACAGTCTAGCCAGTTTTCGGACTGGTCATTCAAAAATAGTCAGTGTTTGCCAAGTCATTAAAAATAACCACCATTTTGCTGCAACAAAGACCGGTCCAGCATAATATACTGGAGTTCGGTACACCTGTGTATGAACTTCCAGCATATTATGTTGGACCGGTATACTTTGTTGGCTCCAGTATAATATATTGGAGATTGGAGCACCGGTGCTCCAAACTCCAATATATTATGTTGGATCAATATATTATACTGGAGTATTTTTCCGGATTTTGAACAATGTTTTCGTTCAGATTATGCATGAAAAGTGGTAAATTTCAATTACTTTTGGAATTGTGGCTATTTTTTGAATGACCACTTATAAATCTGGTTATTTTTGAATTTCTACCAAGGCTGGCATCCGGTCCGGGCCCGATCCCAAACGGTCTTCGCTGGCTGGGCTCAAACGGACCCGGTCTTCGTGGGCTTTTGGGTGTAACCAGACCGGGATCATGTAGTAATGGTCCCGGGCTATGTGGGGCGGGCCCGGGCCCAAACGGGCCTAAATGGGCCTTGACTTTTTTTAAAAAAATAGTTTTTATCTAAGACAATTTCTTGAAATTATATATCTTATATATAGTGTGTGTGTGTGTGTGTATATATATATATATATATGTGTGTGTGTGTGTGTGTGTGTGTGTGTGTGT